GCGACGCTCAGTAGTATTCACCGTAGTACTATACTCCGATTTCCAACATCGCTCGTCGGTCGGTTCGAGCGTCGGGCCGACCGCACAAGCGTTTTATTATTGTCGCCGACGAGGCAGCGTTCTTCGCTGGGGCGCTTATCGCCCAAAACATACACACCCTCTCTGTCGTCTCAGCCATCGCCACGACCACGGTCAATGGCGCGCTAGTTGTAGAGAGCGCACCCGGCATTCGGCTTCAGCAGCCTTTTGCACGGCTGTCCGTGTACTTGATATAATGTAATATTATACCAATAACCGTTTTGGGAAAATATGTTTTATAGCTTTTGTGGTGTGCTGTTTTCGAGGAGAGGACTCCGGCAACCCTGAATATATTTTTTTTGTTCCACCGCGTTTTTCCGTTTTCGACCGTCGACGGGGAGTCCTATGGAGTTACACAATGCGCGTCATTATTAATATTATTTATCACACACAACAATAGACGTATGGTAATGTAAATGTACACAGCGTATAGTCTCGGGAGAGAATAATAACGAAGAGACGTTAATACGAAGTACTTATGCGTCATTTTAATAATCGCACACCAGTACGCGACTGCTTCGACTTGCGTGCGAGCAACCCCCCGCTAATATTAATCGAGATTCGTACAATAAAACGACGGTGAGAATGGTGGGCGAACAAAAAATAATCGATGTCGACGAAGTTTTCAAACGACGCCTGCGACCGACGTAAAAAACTTGTTTTGAATCTTTGTATATTATTATTATGTTTTAATGACGATGACGATTATAAATAAATAATAATAATAATAGTGTAATTTGTAGATTGTTTACGGGGCCGGCGGAGGTATGAGGTGGCGACCGGTAAGACGGCGGCGGTAGATCGAACGATTTTCGAATTTCTTTTTTTCGTAAAACGGGTTTTTGAATTCTGTTATTCAACGTCTCGGTTATTTTCGTCGAACCATTAAAATTGAAATCATTGTTCGTACGAACCGAATAATAAATCGTAATAATTGTATACCATACGTATTCGATTTTGTATGATTTGTTAATAGGCATTAGGCATTACTCATTTACACAAGAAACGAGGTTTATATTTTATGCCGTCTGAAAGTCGAAACAAAACAAGGCGCAGTGGTTTATGAATATAACATTTATAAAGTATAAGATAAATAAACATAACGACCATAATAAATGATATAAAAACGACGATATTAATACTTTAAAAATATGCTCTGTAAATATTCAAACAAGCACGGGACTCGCCGTAATCCTCTATAAAAAAATAGGTTGTTGAGAAATGTGTTTCACCAGTCGGCAGCACAAGTCACGACTTGCGACGTTTATTAACGGCATACAAAACTACAAAAACAGTTTTCATGATGTGAAAAAATATTGTACAAACAGTACAACAATCTAAAATCTTTAAAAAGTTTTTCTGGAAATGTGATTAATTACACAGTATTGACGTAATACGTGTGGTTATTAACAATTATTACTGCTAAGAGTGCTAACTACTATTTATTTTTTTTTATAATGATAGTTACCAACAAGGTTCATGTTCTTATATATGTATTATTATATTGGAACAAAATCGATCTATTTATTTTTTCATAACCAAAGCAAACTAATACAACACTTGATCATAATATTATATTATAATAATTATTTACATAGGTCATCAATTCATGACGAATCAACGTGCCGGTCAAGCGGACCAATCGAAATTATTGGGAATATTAATTGAAGAAAATAAAAGTGAATATGATAAAAACAATTATTGTTGGTAGGTTTTTGGTAAATAATAAATATGCACACCGGATAATCCATTTAACTGGTTACGTTAGTTGTTAGTTGTATTAAATTTTTGTTTTGTTGAATTGTTGCCTATTTTACAATTTCAATATAATACATAAATGACACAAGCAATATTATTTTATTATTCTTATTCTTATCAGTGGACAGTGATTTTTAATAAATTCTATTTATCTTTATATATATTTATAAATAATAATATATCATTTCTTCATAAATGAGGCGTATAGAACTTATTTAATAAGTGTTTTAATTGTTTAGACATTAAAAGAGTAATAGAAAGCATAGAAGGAAAAAAATATAATAATTTGACCATTGTGATAAAAATGTACTAACAGTAGTCTAACACTTGATATAAAATTGTAATAATTAGAAGTCACATTAATGGATTATTCTGTATATAACCATAAAAATACTCTTTTAGTACAAAATGAAAAAAAGAAAAACCATTTCATAAAGTTTTATTATTTATTAATATTATATTATAATATATATAGCATAATCGATCAAGGTTGCATTCTTTACAGTAAAACAGCAATTTTCATGTTTTAACATTTATTATTGATTACCGTTAGCATATAAAAATACATAACAATATTAAAATGTACAAAATTCTAATAAGTACATATACATTAAATGCATTAAGCAATAGTTCCATTAACATTAGCATTGTTAGATTCAAGTAAAGATTTGTTATGGATGATTTTGAAAAATGAAATGAGTTGAAATCATTGTTTTTCTTAAAAATAAATATATGTTATGTACATATAATATAACAGAGAACTATCTGAACAACAGTATTTTAATAATTAAATCACATGAAAATAAAATTAATGTAAAAGTAAAAAAAAAAAAATTATAATAATAACAATAATAATATAAAACAATTATTATAAGTTGAATAAAAATATAAACTAAAAATATACTTTACCTAATATATTATGTTACAATTAAAAATACTAATTCAAGCTGAATAGTTCTAAAAAAAAATAACATAATATAGTATAAGTAATACCCAAGGATAGCCTTTTAGTGAATAATATATGATTATAAGATTCTTGATTTTTATGTTTTAAATAATAATATAATTACTAAATAATGTTTAATTTGTAGATTGACAATATAAAATATTTTACAGTATAAAATATTTACAATTTAACTTAAAAATTTATAATTAGTCTAGGAAAATGTTGAGCTGGGTAATGAAAAATAATATTAAATATAATATGTACTATGAGTAGCTTATATTCATTAAATCTTTATAATAATAAAATTAATTTATAGAATAGGTAAGATATATGGCAAATAGTATATAAAAAAAAATGTATAGATCAACAGTCAAGATAATAAGTCAAATATATTAACTCATCATGTGAACATTTTTAAAAATTTTGTTTAATAAAGCACCATTATAATATTATAAATTGTATTTTTAGAACTGAATTGTTACTAAAGAATTTTGATTCATTTAATGGTACTGTTAAACAATCTGTGTGCTAGGTGCATTCAATAACAATCCATTTGTGCGTTCCATGTCTCCAGCTTCAATTTGTTCTTTTAGAAGTTCTAATTGTCTAATACCACTTACAGTCACTTCATATTTATGGGCTACCATAGATTGGTAGAAGTGTATAGCAAATGCTAAAAATATCACTAGAACAGGGATCAAAATAATAATAGCAGACCATGCAGCACATTCATATACATCATAAAATTTGATCCAACATAATATGGCAATTTCTGCTAGGAACAACAGAAGACCAAGAAGTGTTGAAAATGCCCATGCAGTTTCTATGTACCAATGTAGACGTTCATGTGGAGCTTCATGTACGAGACTTACCGAATGAAGATTACATATGGCCTCAATGTTTGGTAAAATACATGTACTTATCATTAGAGCCAACATGTGAACAGCAACTAATAGAGTGGTGCACACAGCAAATGCTATGAGCATTCCTTTTGGTATTTTAGAATTGGGTTCAATTTGCATTTCTACCATTGCCACCTATAGAAAGTTATTTTTTTTTAAATAATAGTTAATTTTTTTTTTTTCATGAGAAGTAATATTTTAACATACCATAGCAAAACCTGATAAAAGTGCCGATGTTTTGCTAGACGCCTTGAGCTTAGCTCTACTTAATTGAAGTTTACGCCAAGAAAGAAAAGCAGGAGAGTTGAGCGGGACACCAGCTTCTGTAACGTCGCACTGCGACATGTTATTGCACTTCTAAAAAAACAAAATACATCAAGTTAATTAGCTATGATTTTTTATGTTAATAGACTTATAGATATTTAAATACCAACACCATAGGTATGATAATCAATAATAAAAAACTACCAATGCATTACAATTTCTAAAAATAACTTAGAAATAGTTTATTAGTCACTTAGTCTAATTTAGAATTTTTATGCTTGATTAATAAAAACATTTTAACAACAGGATTGAGAAGACCACCTGAAATTGTTTATATAACAATTACTTGAGGTTAAAAATTAGTTTAAATAATTCACTGACCATGGTTATATAGGTAAGAAGTTGGTATGAGTTAACCACATCTCAAATATTATTTTTCAATTTCCATGTTGTTAACAAAATATACATTACTTATTTATGTATATTAAAAAGTTAAAAAAAAAAAAATATCAACAATCAATATTTTTTGTGGTGTAAGACCACGTTATTCATCTTAAATCAACTGAAATCAATCCATTCATGCATGAAGAAAATTAGGCTGCAACATATTCGATTTTGAAACGCATCAAGCCTCAAGAACTGTAGAAATCATTACCAACATGTGTTAGATTAAAATGTTAACGTCTAAGGCAGTTTTATTTTTCCAATTGTGGGTAGTGTATAGACGAACCTTTTGATAGTTGTTAAAGTTACTATGACAATGCCAATTAAAGTCTTGGTCCACCAAGTTATCTTTGGTACCATACAACGTGTGGCGACCGGAACTGATCGAGAATGATGACATCAAGAATTGAGCTAAATGCCGCGTACTCAAATATGTATATATTTTATATGTTATATATTGAACAATAATTTATGGTAGTCTAATTTAAACAATAATAAACAGTAAAAATAAAATCTTAAAAAATTGATGCAACATGAATTAATGCAGATGTGACTGGATAGTAGTAGAGGAATAAACCTTTAAAATTCACCTACGTGTACTCCCTGACGATTTGTTAAAATAATGAGAATTAATGTTATAATCGTACTCTGGTATTATAACGTTATGCTATTATTGCACTACGAGGTCTGTCGGGACTCCGGTAATTTGAAACCAATTATTGAATGTGATTAAACATCTATTGCATTACAATATAATGATTTAAAATTAAAAATATAAAATAAATTAAAATAAACAATATATTTTTCTTACTCACTAGTTCGTAAACAACATATGTAGATTTGCAAAAAAAAAATTAGTACACCGCTAGACGTAAAGTGAACGTAATCGGACGCAAATTCACGAATAATCAGCTAGTACTGCATCAGCCATTGATGACGAGAACTGAGGAGTGAAAATTATGCAGTCATCTCTCTCGTACGAAAATTTATTGATAAATCCAGTCACCAACACACGGGCGAAATATGCTGCTTCATTGGTAATCCACACATGCCCAAGGTCTGAATAGCACTAAAGACTAAAGCTCCCTTCCAAGTCACCGCTATCGCTACGGGAGATAACGACGATAACAATAACAACAACGAATAACACTGAATGTTGTAAATAATGTAATTATTTGTAACGTTGTAATGTTGTTGCATGTATAATACATTAATACTTGTATTTGATGTAAAAGCCATGAGCCATTTGTCCTGTCGAGGATTATGAACTTTGATGATTTCGAAATTATTCATAGTTTATACCTCACATACCTGATACCCCATATCTTGATTCTCGACTGTCATGAATTCGTGATACTGTGACGATAACGCTTATATTACTTAGTACTTATGTTATTTTTAATAATATTAATTATTAATATATAAATCGTAATTAATTATTATATCATAAAATTCATAAAATCATAAGTCATAACTGTCGATTGATGACACGCCCTCAATCCTCACACTAGTCGTGTCCTCTTGCTGTAGGTTTTTCGTGTATAATATTACATCAATCTATTTGAAATACTGAATATGGTCCTCTTGCATCATACTAAGGACTATGAAGAGTTCAATACGCTCATAAAAACACTAGAGGAATCTAAACAGCAGATTTTTGTAATTTTCACAGGCTCACCAAATGAAAGCGGTGAAAGTTGGTGTTCGGACTGCGTTGAAGGTATGCGATCGATCTTTAATCTTTATTGCATGCATGTACATTCTATGCAGTCATCTATGACCGTAAAGCAATGAGTCTTATCGACTGTTGTAACGTTTAGTATTTTTTATTGAACAATTTTATTATTTAATTGTTTTAGCCGATCCAGTTATCAAGAAACAAATTGAACACAATAAAGAATATTTAAAAGATACAAATATTGTGTATGCCCAAGTTGGCAAAAGAGAAGAGTAAGTCCTAAAAAACTGCATTTTCGCTTAATGTTATATTCATCATAATAAAATAAACCTACAAATATCATTTTAAAATAGTACTTATGATAAAGAAACGAGAATAACATTTTTTGTAGTGAAAGCCCAAAGTGTTGTTAAAATGAAGTTATCTTTTTACTTAGATTTTGGTGTATTATGAATTTTAAATCAATTATTAAATAGTCACAAAAATTTATTATTTTGAATTTTGTATAGATAGATAATACCATATTATGTTTAAGTAATATAAATAAACTTATAGGCATAAACACTTTTACTTTAATTGCCTTAAAATTAAAATTTTGTAGGTGAGTGCCTTATTAGTTATTATAATTGTTAATATGATATTCAAATCTTAAAAAAAAATATGAAAATAAATGTTTGATAATTATTCCTTACAAGAAAATTTTAAAGGAATGAAAAAAACTATGGAATTCAAGAAATTAAGAAACATTTAATACATGTAGTATTATGAAGATGTAATAACTTATTATACTATAACAATTATTATCATTATGTATTATATTATAGCTTAAACTGCTGTTTTTTTTAAAATTTCTTATTAAAAAGTTAAAAAGTTACTAAAAAGAACAGCATTACTAAATTTTTATGTGCATGATATTAGACTTGGAGAAGAAGTAAATATTGAATTATTAAAATAGTATTAATACATTAAGAAATATTATTATGTAAATTCAACTTCATCAATCATACTAAATAGTTATAATATTTAATAGAAATTAAACTACTTTTTGCATCTAACTTCTATGTAATTATCAATTACACATAAGCGTGATATTAAAATAGTAAAAATTAAAAGGTAAATTAATGTTTACTTAATGTTTTGCAAAAAAATGTAATACTTCGGTGTACATTAATAAAATAAATGTATATTTTTTTTTCAATATTAAAATGTCTATAATGAATTATGTGTGTTATTTTTCTTACAGATGGAAGAATAACAATAATAATCCATTTAAATTGGACAAAAAAATACGATTGCAATTCTTACCTACACTGCTGAAATGGGGTACATTGCATAAACTTCAAGTTGAAGAATGTTTGAAACCTGATTTACTTGATATGATCTTCAAAGACACAGAAGATGATTCTTAAATTATCATAAAAAAAAAAAAATGTATTGATAAATAATAAAAGACATTTTTAAATTGAATACATTATAATATGTTCTAATATATTGTAATATATTATAACTTATTGATTAATTGATTAATTACATTTGTATATTATTTAAACATTAAAGGTTATATTTCTTATCATAATAATTAAGTTATGATTTTATTTTTTAAGTTAATCATCTAAAAAATTTAAAAAATGAGCTAATTAATTCTTTTAATTGGCTAAAATAAATATAACATGGATAATTTTTGATAATTTCAAATTGAACAAAAACATTTAAATATTGAATTAGTATCATATAATATTAGTATATAAACATTATAAACAAATATATTATAGTAAATTATAATATACCATATTATATACCAAGGGTGGCCATCTTGCAGCTTGAGAGTTACATGTGACTCGCCATTGTTAGATGCGTCTCGTGTTTTATTTATAAAACTAAAATTTACTTATTATCATTATGAATTTTATTTTTTAAGGTATACATATATAAAAATTATCAAATTATTAAAAATGTACATAAAAATTTTCGCTTTTGGTACCATCGTATTTATTTATGTGACCAGTAAACCTATTTAGGTTGACCACCTCTGTTTTGTTCCATAATAACTCTTCTTTAATAACTATTGCTCACTTATACGTTCTAATCTAGAATATTGTTTTTTGGCATGGATGAGCAATACTGAATAATAATATAAATTTAATATGCTTAGACTTCTTTATGGTATTTATGAACCAGTTCTAAAATTTTCTAATCTTTCTCAGCTCATGGAAAAATGCACGATATTACTATCAAATAAACTTAAATAATTTACTTTTGGATGACATTGATTACTTGATCTCCTTACCCTTAATCGCTTTAAAATAAATTACTCTATTAAAAGAAAAAACAATCTATTTTACCTCCTCCTTCAATTAGAAATTATGTCTAATACCTAGTCTAAATAATATTTTAGTGGTTGATGGTAAATCTAATATTTTAGATTCTGAACGGAGTGATGAATGTATTGATTTTATAATGATGTGTTTTTTTTTTTGTGTATCTGTGTACAGCATAAGTAGTCAAAATAATGCTTAAATTTCAAATTTCAGGGGTGGTTTCCGATGGCAAAGTGAATATCCTTGGTGCATTATAGAGGTAAAAAGTTTTCAAAAAAATCGAGAAAAACAAAAAAAAAATGACGGAAAAACGGGAATTTTTACGCAAAACCAGTTTTTGACCAAATCGTTTTTTTTATATGATTGTAATTCAAAAACTAATCACTGTAAATACTTGAAAATTTCACCAAATGTTTATGTTAGTGTTATTTATATACAGTTTAATTTTCAAAAAATTTTGACTTTTTTTGAGTTATTTATAGACTACTGAAATTATCGATTTTTATGAGAATTTTTTTTTGAAGTGTGAATAAAAAAATGTTGGATGACCGAAAAATTTTGAAAATTTAATACAAGGTTCCTTATGAGTTGTTCTTATTTTAGCTAAAAAAAATTAAAAATCGTCAGTCACAATTTTTTTTTTTATAAATGTTTATAGTTTAAATATTTACGAAATCTATCGAAAACGCGAACATTTGTAAGTAATTTTGAAGTTGAAAAGCCATAACATTTTTTGTTTATAACTAAGGATTAAAAATACTACACTATGTTTTCCCTTAGTTTTCCTTCAAGTAGCTATAGTAAAAACTTGAAGCATCATTATAGGAAAAATTTTAAGTGCGTTTGAATTTCAAACTTTTTACGAAATAACGTAATGATAACGATACATCTTCAAACGATTTTAAATATTTGTTAATATTCAAAAAGTATAAGTCGTAGATACTTGAAAATTTTACCAGTTATTTAGATTGGCATTTTCTTTACATGATTTAATTTTCAAAATATTTTGACTTTTTTTGATTTATTTATAGACAACTGAAATTTTCAATTTTTCTTAAAATTTTTTTTTGAAGTATCGATAAAATTTTTTTGGCCCAATCAAAATACTTGAACATTTAATACAAAGTTCCTCTTAAGTTATTATTATAGTGATCAAAAAAATTTTAAGAATACATAGGCACAATTTTTTTTTTATTAGCATTTGAAGTTCAAATATTGACAAAAGTTCGTCAAAACCATGAATATTTGCAAACTGTTGTAATATTTTTGAAAATTTAACTGTATATAGATAACACTAACATAAACGTTTTTACTAAATTTTATCGCTATCATTTTTTTACGACAATAAACACTTTTAATTCTTTAAATATACCAAAGCAAAACATTTTTTGAAGTACTTTGATGTATTATAAAAATAGAATTTTGACGATTAGTTTATGAATTATTGGTATAAGTGCTTAAAATTTAATGAGCCAAGTGGAATGTTAAGGGGGTACCTCGTAAAAAAGTTAGGTAGTGTTTTTGTATTAATGAATGTCTTATAAACATAGTTTAAATAGATCAGTGATTCAAAATTGTGAATTAAAAGATTTTAACTTTTCAATAATTTTAGTTCTATTAATTTGTTATTTTCTTTTTACATGTTGACTTTTATTGTTTACAGCCTACTCTTGCATATTTTATTTTTTAGACATCTATATATTTCATAACCTGAATTTTTTCTAAATGAAGACGTCTTAGACCTTGGTTATACTGTGCTGGTGCATCTTCAATTCCCTCTAGTCGTGGCACTGATATTTACTAGTATCTATACCTAGGTTGATACCTAAAATGTAAACTTTTGATGGTCTAGGTCAAAAAAAAATCGTAGACCCCTAGATTTAATAAATTTTTCTTCTTTATTTTATCAATTTGTCTTTATGATGATTACAAATAAATAATTATAATACAATATATAAAAAATTCATTTTTTTTTTTTTTTACAAATAATTCACATTGATTATTTAAAAATAAGTAAAATACGTAGTTTTGGTACACGTGTTATATACTATCTACAAAAAATGACTGTCCGTATGTTATCTATGCGAAAAAATATATTCTTAATTTAAATAAATATTTTTATTGTAGTTTGTAATTTTACAGTTGTCATTGAAATTATAATCTGACAAATGTGTCATTTATATCTCTTAAAAAACTTTCAAACACTTTGGTCGGATGAACTGAACGCCACCATTTTTCCTATAATTGCCTTTTAGTAGGTAGGTTTGTTGCTCCTCGTAATCTTATATTACATTTTACTTACATGTTTAACAATAGCACGGAATACATATCTACTAATAACGACGTAGGCATGTAGTATATACGAATATAATTGTAGTAATAGTTGTTAATGTATTAAAAATAGAATGAGAAAATGTGTAGATAACAACATTATTAAAATCATTTTCTAATGGCCCCAAAAAAGCGGGGTATGGAATGCTCTGGAGCAACTGTCCTACATGAAATCCAGCCATGATAAGATTAAATAAATAATATATTATAATGATTATGTTTAGTTATTACTTATCAGTCTGGTCGTCGGGACTTAGTTGAGACTTGAGATATTAGAATGTTATCCATTGTCATTCATTACACAAGGGTTAATATAGAAATTAAAATGGTTGGGCTAGACACAAAGTAAACACCTATATCAGTCATACAATTTAATTTAAATCAAACGAATATTAGTAATTTTCAAGTCCATAGTTTTAGAAAATTATAAACAAAATAAATATATAAGTAAGCCAGGTAAGGTAAAGGTATTGTTAATAGGTACGTTAGAGACTGAAATATTATATCATTTTAAAACTTAACTAATATATATATAAAACATTTTTGAAATAGTATCATAATTAGGTACTAAAAAGAGAGGTTACATCACGATTAAATAATATTTTCTATAATTTTATTGAACGGGTTGATTATTAATTACTGTAAAGGTACATAATGTAAAACTGCAAAAGTTATTCAAAACATAATTCAGTGCAATGTGATCACAAAAAACGATTTTGTATTTTTAACTATGATTTAGTGACAGAGAACAAAAATATTTTACTCTAATACAAATATGTTTTCTACGATAAATTGCATTCCCTAGGTAGGTATTACGTAATACTGATATTAAATAATTAAATAGTATATATTTTAAGAGTAGGTGACAAAAAAAAAACAACATAATTTTGCAAACATAGATTTTTATTTAAAATATTTATATCTAATTTAAACTTCAATAATGATTAATTATAGTTTTCCGTTAATTGTCTTTATTCTTCATGAAAAATATTTAAGTATAAAATATTTATATAGTATTATTATACACTATAAAGGTATATAATATATGAATATGTTCATCATGAGTAAACCTGTTATTTAATTATTGGTTTTAAAGTCAACTAAAGGCCATTTTTTTGATTTTATAGTCATTTTTTTTGCTAAAAGTTGTAGAGTTCTCAGTTTTTCAGCACGGTAAAAATTCAAAGTTAGAAAAATTTCTGATAAACCTAATTTTAATTTCAACTCTACCAAACGTTTTCTTGAAAATCAAAAATTTAGCCATAAGTTTAGCTAACTATATATTAATATTAATTTATCCGAGTACAATATTGTATTAAAATAAATACTACCTATGCAAAAACGAGGTCCATCGTTTAAAAATAAAGCAGTGCCATTAAACCGTTTTGCTTTTTTCCTCAAGAGAAAATCTTTCTGGATTAAAAACGTTTAGATAAGGAAAATATTTGGAATGGTGGGATCATAATGAAGGTTATAATTTGATATTATTATTTTTTTTCCTTTTTCAATAACTTATGGCTAGCCTGGGATAGGATAAGTCTTGGTTATTTCTCTAAATAGAACAATAACTCGCTACTGCGTTGGTGTATTGTTTTTAAAACAGTTTATATATTTGAATATTTCATTAAACAAAGTATAAGTTATATAAAATTCAATTTAAGTATAGTTAAATCAAAAAAAAAAAAAAAATAATAAAAAAAATATGACATGAAAATCTATGTATACGTACAGTTATTCAGCTACACCTGAATGATTATAATTACCTGTATAGTCATATACATAATACATTTATAAACGACAACAACTTTTAATGAATTAGC